GGGCCAAGCCTCATTTTTTTTGGCCTGGCCCGGCCTGGCTCGGGCAAAAAAAAGCTCGATCTAAAAAAGCTCGGGCTCAGCCCGAGCTTTTTTTTCCCGGCTCGGGTTCGGCTCAGCTCAGCTCAGCTCAGCTCAGCTCGTTGCCACCGCTACGCAGAACGTCCCTATGAGCCCGAGCTTTTTTTTTCCCGGCTCGGGTTCGGCTTAGCTCGTTGCCACCGCTACGCAAAACGTCCCTACCTTCGAGTTTTTTGGGCACAAAACATCATTTTCCCTAATTTTTAATAAAAAATGACTGATATACTCTCCAATTTAAATAAAACAAAAAAGAACAAAACGAAAAATAAAGAATAAATCACAATTTTACTCCTAAACTTTAAAAAAAAAATATGAATGAGTCCAAAATTTATGAAAATATTAAAAATTATAAAAAAAAAAAAAACTCTCCCATCTCTTCTCCTCCGCCTCTTCCACCCTCGCCGTCCCCAAAACCATAACCACCCCTGCTGTAACTGTAATTAAATTGTGGGAGATTCTTTCTAGATTTGAAGAATTAATCTGCCACTGCCTGTAATCCCACCACGCCCACAATCCAATCATCTCTCTAAGTACAATTCTTCTCTTTCTCTCTCTACAATTTCTTCTATAAATTATAATTGGTACCATGCTTTACAGCATAGAGAGCAGCGATTTGAGAATGAGAGGTGGGATCCTCAGCGTCCAACAAAGCCACAAGGGGCGGAATGATGCTTTGAAGAGCTAGAGTAGTTCTGGCTTGTGTATCCTCCTTTGCGAGCCTCCTCACCTCTGTCGTACCCTCCAGAACCAACTCCAAGCTGCTTTGCTGCTGTAGCTTCTTAGCCACTTACTTCAACTCTTCCAGCGTCTTCTCTTTCCTCCTAACTTCCTCATCCTTTTCCTCAGTCTCCCAGCACTTGGGTTCCTTCAAAAGCTCTGACAATTTGTCGAATCTGGGCTGCAAATTGATTTTATTTTTCGACTCAGAATTCTTCTTTGGCCCATTGCCGCCGCCACAGCTCACGGTGTCAGGTGTCTATGATCTTTGACCAAAGCTTGAAAGGTTGGTCTATAAGCACCGATCCGACGTCTCACCCAAATTCAGAGTAATAAAGTCATTTTAGGGCAATAATGGAATTGGTGAAATGCAATTATGGTGGGAACGAGTGAGTGGGGTTAAGGTTTGACTGGTTGTGAGTTTTGCCTAGAACGGCGTGTTGGGGGAATTCACTCATTGAAATTGGAAATTGTAGTAATTGGAGGGAAATTGTATGTTTGGTGTGCGGTTAAACATGGTCGTGAGGAGAAGACCAAACGGGATTTACAGATGGGACGGAGTTGTGTCCTGGGATGGGCGGCCGAAGGGGAGACCAAACTGGATTTACAGGAGGAGACCAAACGGGATTTACAGATGGCAACGGAAGCAAAAATTGAGGGAATGCAGTGGCCTGGGAGGGGCGGCCGAATGGGAGACCAAACTGGATTTACAGGAGGAGACCATACGGGATTTACAGATGGCTACGGAAGCAAAAATTGAGGGAATGCTGTGATTTGGTTTATCTACGAAGATAGACTTTCACATCCAGTTTTGGCTTTCTTTGGTGGCCGGAAAATGGCTAAAATGGCTGGCAGGTGGTAGGACGCGGTGAGTTTTAGGAAGAATGTGAAGTTTGATAGGTTATTTTGCACTTTTTAGAACGTTTGGGTGTGTAGTTACAATTTATTTTTTATTTTTCTTTTCTTTTCTTTTTTATTTTATTTAAATTGGAGGGTATATCGATCATTTTATATTAAAAATTAGGGCAAATGACGTTTTGCGCCAAAAAAATGAAGGTATGGACGTTCTGCGTCAAAATATCAAACGTAGAGACAGTTTTCTACAAAATCAGGTAAAGATAGGAACGTTTTGCGCCAATTATCCAAAAACAATTACTCACGGTACATGAAGCATGATTGGAATGATGTGGATGTCTAATTTCACACTTGTTCATCCCACGTTTTTTTATCCACCTACTCCAAGATTATTCTGTCTCGCACTCAAACACACGCGCTATCTGCCCCTGAAGTTCAATATATTTGTCCTTGGAATTACCAAATTTGTACTCAATTCATATCATAAGATAATTCTTTCTCGTTTTATACAAAATTTTATTTGTTAAGTGAAAATGAATGATTTTTCTTAGTTCTATCTAATTTTGGCACGTGTTCACTTACATCATAGCATGTTTTAGCCTCAATTTTTTAGAAATGATGTATTTTGGAATAATATTTGATGAAAAATATGTGGTTAAAACATAAGAAAAAGTTAAGAGTTTGCTTGTAATATTATTTTATCGAAGAAAATGTAGTTGAAAATAAGAGAAAGAAAAATGCATTTTAAAAATAATGAGAATCAAACAAGGACCGAATATGTTTAAAGTGCAAGTATAGAAACCTATAACTCGCACATCGTTGTCAAACAAGGACCGAACATGTTTAAAGTGCAAGTATAGACCTATAACTTGCACATCATTGTCAAACAAGGATCGAACATGTTTAAAGCGCAAGTATAGACCTATAACGAAGACAAGATCTCCCAAATTGATCGCAGTAAGACTACCTTTCTTGCTCTTTCGTTTGGCTTCCTCATCATTGTAGCCTCGGTAGGTAGCGTAGTGAGTTGTATATCTTTGTATGTATTTCTCTAGCAGCCAAATAACACCCCACCCCACCATGTGGCTTGATATTATTTTTGTTAGATATTTATACTATAAATATAATATGTGAAAGAAATAATTAATTCAAATTAAGTGCCTAATTGGTGAAAAGTGTGGAATTTGTGTGAGAGGTCGGGGGTTCGAGCCATACTTCACGGAATTTGTGTGAGAGGTCAAGGGTTCGAGTCACACCCCAATTGGTGAAAAGTGTGGAATTTTTTAACTATTTTTGAAATTATTTAATGGGTCAACTAGCCAGTAAAATATGACAGTTTTAACTGCCCAGTTATAATATCCATTACCATAGGCCATTACATCTGCAACTTAATGCTAGATTATGGTGGAAGAAGTTACATCTCTTCATGCCTATATAAACAAAATCTATTATTTAATTTATTAGAATATTAATTCAATTAAATAATAGATATTGCCATATATATGCATTGATTATATATATTCATAGTATTTATGTCCAAAGTTGATTGGACTAGGGCATAACACTTACAAGATCTCCCAAATTGATCGCAGTAAGACTACCTTTCTTGCTCTTTCGTTTGGCTTCCTCATCATTGTAGCCTCGGTAGGTAGCATAGTGAGTTGTATATCTTTGTATGTATTTCTCTAGCAGCCAAATAACACCCCACCCCACCATGTGGCTTGATATTATTTTTGTTAGATATTTATACTATAAATATAATATGTAAAAGAAATAATTAATTCAAATTAAGTGCCCAATTGATGAAAAGTGTGGAATTTGTGTGAGAGGTTGGGGGTTCGAGCCATACTTCACGGAATTTGTGTGAGAGGTCAAGGGTTCGAGTCACACCCCAATTGGTGAAAAGTGTGGAATTTTTTAACTATTTTTGAAATTATTTAATGGGTCAACTAGCCAATAAAATATGACAGTTTTTAATATCCAGTATTAACAACGCATTAACCACTAGCCATAAAATTACAAATAAATATTGGATCATGGTGGATGTAGTTATGTGATTTTTCTGCCTATATAAAAACACATCTGGGCATTAGAAATATACAACAAAAAATGAAATTGTATTTTCATATTTAAAAAAATATATTATACTCTATTTTACATATTTTCTGGAGTATATTTGAGAGTTCTAAAAATCATTTGTGATTGCTGCACAATTGATTTATTTGATAATTGTATTCTGGAGGTGATTGTCTACAGACGTAGCAGCAGTTATCGACGGGCATTTCGCTTTAGAATATCGTACTGTCATGAGACTCGATCAGTCGATAAGTTTTTATTTCTACACTTTATTGTATTGCAACTAGTAAAATTTCTAAAAATTTTCAGACACCCAAGAAAAACAAATTGACATGCTTCTTAAATAGTTTTCTGGGAAAAACATCCTTTTTTTATAGCAGGGTTTTAGCCCCGCCTTTCATTTTTTAGCAAGATCGCACTTTTGTAAGGTTTCATCAAAAACTGTTGTTAAATGGGTTTGTTGACCTCTTTTTGTCATATACTACTAAATGGCAAGATTATTCACTCATTCCTTCCTAGTTTATGTATCATATTGTAAATTTCACAGTTATAGTCCCACTGGCAGGCTACTCTATGTTAATGGCTTCTCTTTCATTGCATCCATTAGAACATGCTAACCCATCCCTTCGCCAGTCATTTGTTGATAGTGAATCCATTGAAATTAAAGGGGTGATATGTAGATGTGAATATCAAACAGATTTGAAGACTTCATGGATCGATACAAACCCAGCCACAAGATTCTTTATTTGTGGACAGCAGGTAACTCCATCGTCAATTTGTGCGTAAAACTTGTTTTGTTGAAAATTTTACTACAAAATCCTAGCTTTGATCTTGCAGGAAAATAGTCGTGGTGAGATTGTGTGTTTTGGCCCACCTATTTGTGACTGGTCAAAGGAAGTAATTCATGGGCTGCTAAGGTCAATGCGAGGATTAGTCCAAGTTAACGACTTAAAACTACATCTGAAGGGCGGGGCGGATCAAGATGTTCAATGCGCATACCAAGATGTTAGAAGCTCAAATGAGAAGATTAGAGCTGGAGAATTAGTTTTTTGTAGAAAAACGAAAGGCGAAGACTGGCTCGAAAACATCAACACACTTTTTTCGGATTGGTCTTCTAACAGTATTGATTATAGCGAGCGTGTTTGGGTTTTAGTTTAAATCAAGTTTCGGATGTTGTTACTCTCCAAGTCAAGTTTAAAATAGAGTCCCTTCTTGCAGAGTCCTCCGCAATCAAATGATGTCAAATTTTGAAAATAGCTAAGGACTACATAGGGGAAGGTTGGGAAGATGGAATTTAGGGAGTTTTTAATTAATTTATTTTTTACTAAGGACATTTTAAATATTGGCAAAAGCCTTAAAAACTGTAAGATGGAGAATCTATTTGCAAAGGCAGACTTTTCAAATATCTTCTTAATTTTTAAAAAGAGATGAAATATCTATTTAATAATCGATTATTTTAAATGTGTAAGTGCTTTATACAAAGTTTAATACTTAGACAAGATGAGGTGTAAATTGATTTCACTGTTGCGATGCAACCTAGGCTGCCGAGTAACTACACAATAGGTGGAAAAAGGTGAAATTACGGTCCTAAAAAAATGTATAGATAAAATTCATGCTTATAAGTTTGAAAAAAATGGGTAATTAGCACATAACATTCTTACATTTCAATATCATTGTGAAATCGTCGTTACCTTTCATTTTTTTAGCATTTTTATCATTATTTTCACATTTTATTGCGCAAAAGATTATTTTCATCCATTCTTTCAATTAAAAGATGTGAATTGACGAATACACCCTTCCATTTACATAAAAAAAATGAAAGAACCAATTGTAATCATAATCCCAAATTTTTTTTAAAAAGTGTCCCAAATAAATTAGTAAAATGGTAATTAGCACATAATATCCCTATTTTTCATTATTATTGAGAAAAACGTCCATACATTTCATTTTTTGGTATTTTCATCCTTAATTGTACTTTTGATTGCACAAATCATCATTTCTATTCATTTTCATCCAATTTCACAATAAAAAGCTATGAAATGACGAATATACCCTCATATTTAAATAAAAAAACAAAACAATTAATTGCAACCGTAGTCCCAATTTTTTTAAATTTGCAAATGAGTCCCCAATAAATTATTAAAAATTTTTAATTTTTTAAAAAAGTTCAAACNTTTAAATTTTTTATAAATTTATTTGAGACTTGTTTGTACTTTTAAAAAAAGTTTAGGACTATGATTGCAATTAATTCTTTATTTTTTTCTTTTTCATATTTAAATATGAGTGTATGTTCGCAATTTCACAACTTTTTATTTGAGAAATTGATAAAAAATTGATAAAAAATTATGGTTTGCACAATCAGAGGTGTATTTAAAAGTAAAAGTAGAAAAAAAAAGGTATGGATATTTTTCAGGATATTAGACATTATATGCTAATGACCATTTTACTAATTTATTTTGGACTCTTTGTACTTTTTTTTTAACAAAAAATTGAGATTATAGTTGTAGCTAATTCTTTTTTTTTTCTTGTTGTTTTATTTAAATAGAAAAATTAGTCAATTCTCAGCTTTGAATTAAGAAAATCGATGAAAATGACATTTTGACAATGAAATGTGGAAATATGGGTAAAAATTTCAAAAATGAAATGTAAGGACATTTTTCCACGATAATAATAAAATGTAGAGATGTTACGTGCTAATTACCCTATGAAAAAACTATGACAAACAAGCACTCAAAGTTTTGCATGATGGATTCTTTTTTACAGTTTTTAAAGTTGCAAATTAAAGCAGAATATATTTTGCAAAACAAACTTCATGACATGTCTTTGTAAATTTTTAAAATAAGAAAAATAATAATAATCAATTCCCTCAGATAGTGCCTATGCATGTAATTTTCTACAATTATGTCCCCATGTGACAGAATTTTATTTTTAAAAAAAAGAGTTTTAAAATAGTAATTTTTTGAAGAATGCATAGTTAAAAAGTAAGAATAATTTTGAATTTACGTGAAAAATATTTGATTGTGATAATGTTGTTAAAAATGAGTGAGAAATTTTTTTTGAAAAGAATGATTGTAAAACCGGGCTAAATATATTCCACACTTTTAACTTAGTCCAAAAGATGATAATTCAGTTGGGTGAGAAATGTGAGCAACACAAGACTACAAAATCATGTCACGAGACATTACAAGACAATTATTTACCTCAACTCAGTCAATCCCCTTCACACTTTTCTCCCCACATCATCCATTATTTCTTCCTTTAAATCAGAGCTTTTAATCAAAACAAAGTTTCCATTTTTCTTCTTCTTCAATGGCTCCCCCTGCACAGTCATTGAAGTTAGCTCCATTTTTCTTCTTCTTCATTTTCACTATCCCAGTCTTTTTTGCTATTCCCATCCATGCCCTTAACGTTGGCATTCATGCAAGTGGAGACATCTCTCTGGTTAGTTCTTGTTCATCTTCCTCAACCGGACTGAAACCGCTTTCCATTTCGACAGAAAATTGTAGTTTACAACTTTTTTCTTTTTTTGTAGAGTAAAGAATGCAGTAGAACATGTGAATCAAAGTTCTGTGGAGGTAGAATACCCTCTTTTCTGTTTCAAACAATTTATAGTTTAGAGGAGTTGGAAATAAATTTGCATCAAATTTTGGAATTTGATGTTGTTTTGCAGTGCCTCCATTCTTAAGATATGGAAAATACTGTGGACTTTTGTACAGTGGATGTCCAGGAGAGCAGCCATGTGACCGCTTAGATGCTTGTTGTATGAAGCATGATCAGTGCATACAAGTTAAAGGCAGTAAGTTCTACTTCAACAAAGCAGATCAATTATTTATTTTCACCCTATCATTATTCTTAATTTTAAGCCTGTTGGGTTTTTTTTATACCCAATAAATTCGGTCAATAATGAAAAACAGTAGTCGGAAATTTATCGACACCATAAACTTGGCTCAACTCGAATCCTACCGATACTTTTGGAAAGTCTAAGTTGGAGATGGATTGGTGGTTGTGATTAGTTTATGGTTTTGGACTATTGTTAGGCCCATTCGCCTTATTATTTAGTTGGCCCAATCAACTGGTTCTTTGGCCAAATAATATGTGACCCTAATCCATTTTTATATATATATCCATCCCCCCAAAACGTGAAGAGTGGTGCAATTGTGTGTGAAGAAAGAGGATAGCCGTTCTTGGTGTTTTGGGAGAAACCATTGCGTCCTTCTCATCTTCCTTCATTTGTGGTTAACTGCATCCACCATTATTGATCATTTGTGGGTTAGTAGAAGAGTGAGACTTGTAGCAACCGGGTGGAGGAAAGTATTGGATTGAGCTTGAGTCGTGCAGTATCGATTGTAGTTGTTTCTGAGCCCAGGAATTGAAGTTTGGAGCACCAATATTTAACAAAGCCAATAGAATATACGAGAATAGAGGGTGTGTCTAGGTAGTGATAAGCCCACAAGGAGTGGTAGAGCCAGATATTTTTCATCGTGAGAGCTAAAAGTAAGTTGCAAAAACCGTCGGTTTGAAGTTTGAGAGATGAGAAGAGAGATGGTCTAGTGGTTGAACATGTGTGGCCCGCTCCAACATTGACGAGCGAACCCAAGGCATTGGGAAGAAACGGAAAATTAATTGTTCACAATTAGAATTGGGTCTTTAGGGAAAAGTCGTGCACAGCCCTCAAAAGAGGGAGGAATAAAAATTTAAATTTTGAAGAAAAGTAAAATAAATAAAAATTCCAAAATTTTGGGAGAGCAATGGCCCCCACATGATACCATTGTGGCTCCGCCACTACCCATAAGTCAAGTAATCACTCTGCAATGTTGAACATACTTGTAATACTCACGTTCGACATGCATTCAATTGGGAAGTCTTAAGAAATCAATCTTTCATTATAGCCTTTTCTAGGTTGTGTGGTCCGCGATATTGGTCAAATTCAGTAGGGTATTTTTTGATATGATACTAATTTAGGCGAAGATGTCCAAATTGTAAGAAGCTCGCAAATTAAGCCTCAAGTTAAAGGATATGTATTGAAATTAAAGTAATTACAAAGGGATTCAGGCATTTTAACTAGTTTTGTTGCATCGGTGCCCAGAAAAGATATATTATTTTGACGTGGTTATTGTGCTAGGTTATTTGAGCCAACAATGCAATCAAGAATTCATCAACTGTGTAGACGGGTTCAAGAAATCAAGATCCCCCACTTTCAATGGCAACACATGTAAAGTTGATGAAGTTGTCCATGTAATCAAAGATGTCATTAATGCTGCTATTATTGCTGGAAAGATTTTTGGTAAACCTTAAAATTGTACAATGCCCTTCTAAATAAGTCAATTAGAGGCTAACTTTTAGCTTATTAATTTTCCTTTTGGCTTGTTTTTGCTATCTATTCTACTATCTTTTAACAATGCGGAAAATCAAAATCGATATTGTTTTACTTTTTGCTAGACAATAAGTTAATATTTTTGTCCATTTTGTTTTGTTTCTCTTAAGTAACAAAGATAAAGTTAAAAAATTGAACTGCTCATTTTCTCTAATTAGATCATCAAGCCCTTCGTTATCTCAATTTCCAACATAATTTAAGTGAACAATGTGTTAAAGTGGTCGAATTCTTTCGAGAATACATGTTCTGTCCCCTACCATCATCCTAGAGTCGAGAACAAAGCTGCTAATGCTCTTAGTTTTTGCACTACCATGCTTATTCTATGAACAATCTCATAGTGGGTTTTGAGCACTTGAAATGAATAATATCCTAGTTGTCTTGACTTTGGCATCATATTTAGAATACTTTCACATTTTTGGATCCCACTTATGAGTGTAACTTAGCTGAACTGCATGGTGATGATATTGGCAATTAGCGTTGTAGTGTTAAAGAAAAATCCTCTAAGTTATGGCACAAAAGATTGGGACATATTTTCATAGATAGACTTGAAAGATTAGTAAATGATGGAGTTTTACCAACCCTTAACTTTACTGATTTTGGGACTTGTATTGACTGCATAAAGGGAAAGCAGACAAACATGACCACTAAAGGTATCAAAAGGAGTTCAAACATTCTTGAGATTATTCACACGGATATTTGTGGACATTTTCCTACTCTTTGTCTAAATGGTCAAAGATATTTTATCTCATTCATAGATGATCATTCAACATATATGTATCTATATCTTCTAAATCATAAGAATGATGCATTAGATGCTTTCAAGATTTATAAAGCAGAAGTAGATAAACAAAATGAAAGAAAAATCAAAATTATAAAGTCAGAAAGGGGTGTATAATATTATGGACGGTACACAGAAATTGGACAAATGTCAGGTTCATTTGTTAATTTTTTACCAGAATAAGGTATTGTAGCACAATATACGATGCCATACACACCTCAACAAAATGGTGTAGCTTAAAGAAGAAATAAGACTTTAATGGATATGGTTAGGAGTATGATGAGCAATTCAGGTCTTTCTTTGCATTTATGGAGTGAAACCCTAAAAATTGTCGTGTATATCTTAAACAGAGTTCCATCTAAAACAGTTCCTAAAACACCATTTGAAATTTGGAACGGATGGAAACCTAGTTTGAGACATATTCGCATATGGGGTTGTTCAGTTGAAGTGAGTGTTTACAATCCTCACGTAAAGAAATTGGACCCGACGACAGTTAGTGAATTTTTCATAGGCTATCCAGTGAGCTCTAAGGGCTATAGATTCTATTGTCCTTCGCACACTCCAAGAATTGTTTAAGCTAGAAATGCAAAATTTTTAGAAGGTCATGAAGTGAGTGGGAGTGAGTTTCCTAGATAAATGAATATGTTAGGTCATCTTCCAGTCCAGGCATATTGATTCATTTCGAAAGAAAGAGCTCAATTACAACTGGAAATGATCCAACTCAAGAACAATTGTTACTATATGAGGAAAACACAGAACTAGAATCCCCACCCAATGTTGAACCTATTACTACTCAAAATATGCAAAATCAAGATGAGATAGTAGGTATAAGGAGATCCAATAAGAAAATCAACATTTTTTAGCGATTATGTTGTATATCTTCAAGAGTCCGATATATGTGTTGGACTTGACAATGATCCTAACTCGTTTTCACAAGCTATTGAAGGGAAAAACTCAAGTTTTTGGTATGATGCCATGAAGAAAGAGAGGAATCTATGGCTAAAAATCAAGTTTGGGATCCCGTTGAATTGCCGATGGACATACAGTCATTGATTGTAAATGGGTCTATAAGACCAAAAGAAATGCATTTGGTACTACAGAACGATATAAGGCCAAACTTGTAGTTAAGGGTTTCACTCAAAAGGAAGGCATTGATTACCATGAAACATTTTCTCCAATTTCTAAGAAATATTCATTTAGAATTATAATGGTTTTAGTGGCTCATTTTGATCTAGAGTTATATACGTGAAAACAACATTCTTGAATGGAGATTTTGGAAACAGAAGTATACATGAAACGGTCTGAGGATTTACCAGTGATAAATGTATGAACTAAAGCAGGCTTCCCGTCAGTAGTATTAGAAGTTTCACAATATTGTTACTTCATATGGTTTTACATAAAATATCATTGACCAGTGTATATATCTTAAAGTCAGTGGGAGCACATACATTTTTCTAGTCCTATATATAGATATCATTTTACTTGCAAGCAATGATTTGGGGTTGCTACATGATAAGTGTATTTTATACACTTATTTGGGATCTTAAATAATGATATTTGATAGTTCTTATGACAAAATATATTCTAAATTGTTATATTTTATGTTATATAGGCAAAACTCAATTGTTGAACAAGGAATGGAAAGAAAGAATCGAAAAATGGTGAAAATGGCAGAATCCAAAGTTTGAGGACCAAATTATAATTATTCTATAGTTGATTCGGACACAAAAAGATACTTTGAAAATTGTTAGGAGACAATTTGATGGAATTAAAACTCAAAAATGAATGGAATATGATCAAAATCAATTTCCAATCGCACAAGTTATATTTCAGATTTTTAGCCGAATATTGAGATCCATTTTTGACACAGTAAACATCTTAATTGGAAATATTCTATTTCTATAAAAGTTGTATACCTTTGAATTAGCTTTCCAACGCACTTTAAATTTCATAAATTGGATATCAGGAGAGAAAGTTATAGTCAACATACTAATTGTTATGCAGAGACAAAAAAATAACACACGAAGACAACTTTTCTTATTCGATTAGAACTATGTTGGAAGTCAATTTTGACGTTATTTTCAACCAATTTTCGACTCCTACAAATACATAACAACAGAATACATATGGAGGACCTCTCACATGCATCTCATACTCCAATATTCATCAATTATTATCAAAAAAGTAGGAGAATTCATTGTTTTTGTGAGAGAATTGAAGAAACTTTGCAAGAATTCAATTAATTGAAGATTCAAACCTGATTTTTGAACAGAAAAGAGAAGACGCAAGTGGAGATTCATCAAGAAACCATTGAAGAGATTCAAAATTCATCTTCATCTTCTTAATTTATCAAAATTCGGGTGATATCTTTTCACTGAAATATGATTTCTTGTAATTTCAATGTGTTATGCTAATTTTAAACATTATCGTTTTTATCGTTCTTTTCAATTGCTTAATCACCAATTGAATTGTTAGTGGATTTTATTGTTATCAAGAGAAATAATAGGGTCTAAGCACATTATAATAAACATAGTAAGGTTCGATAGAAAATAGAGATATACATATATGCTTTATATGGTTTTTAGTGCTTGTTAATGTATTTATCATATTTGCATCTTTCATCGAGAGATACAAGGGTCACATGAGGGATAATTGTTTCAAAAACTTGATCGTTTGATTTTTCGCAAGTGAACGAGATCGTGAACAAGTAATATAGTAGTGTGTAGAGTGTCGAACCCACGAGAACTACGTGTTTGATCGAGTTAAAATTAATTCCAACTTTAATCGAATAACAAACAAATTTTATGATTTTTCCTACACTAATACCTAAATTATCAATTAAAGTACGTAAATGTGTTTTACAAATATGTNCGAGTTAAAATTAATTCCAACTTTAATCGAATAGCAAATAAATTTTATAATTTTTTTTATATTAATCCCTAAATTATCAATTAAACTAATGAAAGTAAATAAATGTATTTTCATTCAAATATGTGAGATGCATTAATAAGATGTGGAATGCCCCTTGTATTCCATTTCTAGTGTAACAATTAAAGTGACAATTTGAAATCATTTATATTAGTTAATGCTCCTAATTTAATTGAAAACATCTCTCGATAGCGATCAAATCGATTCCCCTCATGTGTGCCTTCTATCTCTCGATGAAAGATGCAAACATGATAAATGCATTAACAAGTACTAAAATATCTATTGAAACCATATAAAGTATAGATGTATATTTCTATCCTCTATATAACCTTATAATATTTATTATAATGTGCTTAAACTCTATGTCTCTCTCGATAACAATAAAATGTATTAACAATTCAATTGGTGATCAAGCAATTGAAAAGAACGATAAAAACGATAATAAATATTCACAAGTCAAATCAAGTTAAAGTCAAAATAATTAATTAAAAATTAAAAATATCATAACAATGGTTCATCTCATCCTAGTAATGTATAAAATTAGTCTAACATATTGAAATTACAAGAAATCATATTTAAATGAAAAAATATCAGTCGGATTTTGATAAATTGAGAAGATGAAGATGAATCTTGAAATCTTGAATCTCTTCAATGGTTTCTTGATGAATCTCAACTCGCGTCTTCTCTTCTTTGCCCAATTCTTGAATCTCTTCAATGGTTTGAATCTTCAATTGATTGAATTCTCACAAATTTTCTTCAATTCTCTCATAAAAATAATGAATTCTCCTACTTTGTCGATAATAGTTGATTGATGTTGAAGTATGAGATGCATATGAGAGGTCCCCCATATGTATTTTGTTGTTATATATTTGTAGGAATCAAAAATTGGTAAAAAATAACGTTCAAATTGACTTCCAACAGAGTTCCAATCGAATAAGGAAAGTTGTCTTCGCGCGCGAATTTTTTGTCTCTACATAGCAGTTAGTATTTTGACTATAACTTTCTCTCCTAATATCCGATTGAAGCAATTCAAATTACTTTGGAAAGCTAGTTTAAAGAGATACAACTTTTATAGAAATAGAAGTTTTTCAATTCGGATGTTTACTATACCAAAAATGGGTCTCAATATTCGACTAAAAATCTAGAATATAACTTGTGCGATTAGAAATTGATTTTGATCATATTCAATCAATTTTTGAGCTTTTAATTCCATCT